TTTCGTAAATATAATCAAAATTTGTATTTAAATCTGACGGATAATTGCCGTCAAAGTATTTGTGAAGTGCCTTTTATATTTATAATGCTATTTAATATGTAAAATGTGCATGTCACCAGTGACTTTAATTGGATTTACGGGATTAGTTGGTGATATTCGGAAAGTTTGATCAATTCAAATGGTAGATATGGTCATAGAGTTTATGTTATTGCAGATTATCCTGGCACAATTTGCTGACACCTAACGAGGTTCCCAATTTAGCGAAAAAGTAGTAATGATGCCAAAAGTGATTACAGTTATTTGAAGTCCCTATTATAAGTACAAATATATATTTTATATTATAAAACAATTAGTTGACTATTTAATTATTATATTAGTTAAACAAGGTACTATCATAAAAAGTTTATCAGGATTGATCCTAAATCTGTGTCAAATTCAAAATCCATTTTGGTTTAAAAAGTATGTGGCCTGATTAATTATTAATTATTTAATACTACTGAACAATAATTTTTATTATTTTAAAACAATAAAGACATCCCTAGATGAATATAAATTATGGACGGCTAATTAGTATTAAGGCAATCTCATCAATTATTCCGGTTAATTCAGTTATACTCAATTGGTGACATAAAAATTTTATGCATAAAATAACATTATTAATATGGACAGCATTTCCTAAATACTTTGACGGCAATGACTGAATTATTTTCCATAAACCTAACGATACATTGTATGAAATCTGGCCGTTCATTGCCGTCTAAGTATTTGTGGATTGCCGTCCATTAGAATAATGTCATATCATTCATAAAATGTCTATGTCACCCGTTGAGTATAATAGGATTGACGAGAATACTGGTAATTGATGAGATTGGTAAAGTTTGATCAATTCAAATCGTCGACACGGTCATATAATTTACCTTAATACTGATTATCCTTGCGTACTTTACTTTAACTTAACAATGTTTATTACTAAGAAGTTAGTTGCATATTGAGAACATCCAAGAACAAATGAGTAAACTTTTTTTAGTATAATTTTTTTTTATTTTGTAAAATTAATAATAAAAAATTTCATTAAATATAATCCTTTGTAGCACCTAAATATAAACACGATAATGGAATAGGGTTGGCAATTTTTATTCTTTATTTTTAAAAAATGTAAAGAGAATAAATTAAAAATTAAATTTCTTACCAGACGCAAAAAGTTAAACAAGTAAGGGCTGATTTACATTCTTTGAATACAATTGACACGCATACCCGGCACAACAAGCTTCACATTTAGGTATTGGGCTAGCACATAAACAGCCAGCACATAAACACATACTTGATAGTATGAATATAATATTACAGTATTAGTTTTTATTAATGAGTACGTATATATTTTTGAAATAATATATCTAAATGCATGTACAGTATAATGGATTTAATATTATTATCAAGATTGACAATTAAAATAATAAACTGTTCGGAATTTAGTTCACTGATAAATTCTTTAACCATAAAACCATTCATTTATGGTTTTATTTAAGTATGAAATTTATTATATTTATGAGATCGTGGCTTGTACGTTTGCAAACTTTATTATTATACTAGTATTATTATTTTCTACGTTATATTACTGATAAGATAAATATTTCATTTCCATAAATGTAAAAGGATCTTGTCTTAAATCCATAAAAACAAAATATAACCATAAATATAAATATTAACCAAATGTTATATATTTTGGAATAAAATAGAATAAAAATCTTAATATTTTTTTAGTATGGATGCCAAAAATGAAATTGGTGAAGGTGGCTTTGGAACCGTTTACAAAGTTAAAGATAAAACTGATGGACAGGACTGTGCGATTAAAAGGATTGAGCTAAAAAGTAATAACTATAATTTTCACAACTACCTTGTTTGTTAAATATCTACTGTACACATTAAAATAGAACTGAACAAAAAGGAAAAATCACGTTTAGAAAAGGAAGTTGCCAACCTACAAACAGTACGCTCGGAATTTGTGGTCACTTATTACGAGTCGTGGAAGGATTCACAATATTTCTACATTAAAATGGAACTATGCTCAGTAAGTCTACGAAATATAATAGACAGGAAAGCCCAAGTATTTGGCAGACACGATGGCGAACCTATCAACAAATACGAGTACATCATGTCGTGCGAGATATTCCGTCAAATCGTCGAATGTGTGCAATACTTACACAATTTGAAGCCACAGATCATTCACAGAGACCTCAAACCCGAAAATATTCTGATCGCTAGGAATGTCGTGAATAAACGGTTCATCAAGTTATGTGATTTCGGTTTGGCTAAAGTTCACGACAACACTATACACTACAGGACCTCTAAGAAACACACCGGCGATGTGGGAGATATTTATTATATGGCGCCTGAAGTTAGCAGTGGTGCGAAATACGGCCATAAATGCGATATTTATAGTTTGGTCTTGGTGGCTAGACATCTATTTGACATTAATTTTACTCAAAAGTATGTATTTAGAAATTTAATTTTAGATTATTAAATTAATTATGATAATTTGGTTTATAGAGACTGCTATGTTTGCCTTAATGATGAATTAAAAGAACCTGTATCAAAATTATGGACCTTGATGAAATTGATGCTCTCGACTCCTGAGTGGTCGACTCGTCCTGAGTGCAGCGAAATTTTAGCCAAATATAATGAGTGGTCTATAGATAAAGAAAATCTAATAAATGAAATAAATTTTAGAGAGATTTTGTTCAAAGTTCACCAAGATCCTAAATCTGTGTTTTATAAAATTATGTCAACTTTAGTTTAGTTTAAGTGGAATTGTAACTTTTTGTTAAGACAAGTAATAAGAGATTAAAATATATAATACAAAAAAGCTAGTTCATATGTTATATGCAATTTGATTTCTTTTATTTTAATAAACTAAACAGTATTACCTAAATAAATAGGGTATAATTTTCTATTATCATGTAGATCAATATTTATAGTTTATGTATAGTTTACGTTTATTTATAGTTTAATTTTTATACGTGAGAAGTATTTAAGTTTTAAATTAGTTTTGGCGCTAAAATGAATTTTCTATAATTAAACAGCACAAAGGTTTCAAATAAAACTTATACTTGTATTTAAAGGTCTTATTAGTACCGTTCCCTTGCTTATAAATAATTAAATTAATAATTGTAAATTAGGAAAAACTATTAATTAAGATATTACATAATCCATGTTACCGTATTCCCGCACAAGCACCGGGAGATATTCACCTTATCAATATAAAGTGAGGTTGATGAGACTGCCGTTATACCCCGGGGTATAATGGCATGTCGTAATATGTGATGTCTAAAATGTTTTTGATTTTTAAAAATTTATTAATATTTTGTTATAGAAATGGGTTAAAAATAAACTGAAACCCATCTTATGAATTTTAGCATCATGATGTTTATTTTTGTTGTATAAATGGGTTTATGCTAGATTGAGTTAATAGTATAGAAATAACTTAAGAGGAATAAAACCATTTGAAATACACAAATTTGATTTGCACCCAAATACTTGTAATCTATCATTACCATGGTGATACAATAATTATTGCACTAACTTTCAATGTCAATACTGCAGTGAATTCTGCAATACGATTACACGAGAAAATAACAAACAAAATATGAAACATATGCCAACACATACTCATTATATTTGTTATGTCATAAGTGTAAATTAAATATTAATATAATAATAACCTTGTTTGATAAATTCGTGAAACTATATTAATTCTAATAAATATATTAAAATATTTTGATTAGTTATAAACTTAATTTGACATACTACTGCAAATTTAATATAGTTCAACAGTTAACTTTTTATTTTATTTTAGAGTGTATTTTATTAAATATTAACATTTCACTGTTATTATTAAAATAAATCTATTAATTAATTGAATATGTCTTTGATTGATGTAAAGAAGACTGAAGAGGAATATGCGAAGGACTCGTTTGACAGATTGGGTGATGACTTGTGTGGACTCGTGTTGTCTTATCTGTCACTGAAAGACAGCTTCAGATATGAATGTCTGTCCAAACAGTGGATGAGATGTATATCCACGAATATATTTGCTATTGATGTCCAAGAATTGTCTGCAAATGAATGGATAATATCTATGTTTGATAAATATCGGCAAATAACAGTTGACACAAAAACTATGGAATCAATTGCTAAAAAGTGTGCAAACATTACATCCATTGAAATCGCAATCGAGTCGTTAAATTGTGTAAAAATATTAGATTTAATTAGCACGATACTTTATGATCAGGTAGTGGTTAGAGGGTTAACAGTCAATAGTTTTGAGGCACCAAATGCCCTTAATTGATAAAACTAGTTATTAAAGCCAGTTTACTGACTTAGCGAATACTTACCATAGTTTCTGAACCCTGAGTTAACGTTTGTGTAAGTCTCTGACAGTCTAACATTTGTTAGGGTTTGGACACGAGAATTGACTCAAATTTCTCAATCCATTCACTCGTATTGCAAATTAAAATTATTGACTTTATTATGTAGTATAGAGAACAGGTATTCTGTAGTGGATTGGGACACCTGTACTGTACTAGGTCATTGTGGTCATTGTCTGAATGCAAACAATTAAAGCATTTGTCCCTAGAGTTGCAGAACTGTGTAATGAGTGACACATTCTTTGACTCAATTCACACACATTTACCACTCATTCAGACGTTGCATATTAGGAGGGAACTGGTTATGAGCCCCAGTATTGAGAATTGTATGCAACGGATGTCTAAACTGAAAATATTTCACAGATTTGACAAAAAGAGATTTAATTGAATTAAAAGTATTTTGTATCTATCAATGTCTATATTATTGAATATCTGATTGACGTAAAAACTTATACTGTGGCGATGGTGTCATGAATACAAATCTTAAACCTAGTTTAATCTGGTCAAATTATAGAGATAAATAGCGGTTGAGAAAATCAATCAATGCATAATTATTTTTTATTTTCATTGTTTTTACTGCTGTGATTGCAAAATTAACTTGGCTAACTCCAAATCGTCTGGATAGGTAATTTTTATATTGTCAGAACGCCCCATCACCACTTTGACAGGTTCATTGATATATTCCAATGCACTCGCCTCGTCTGTAATGATAATATTATTCGCTAAAGCTGTTTCGATTGCCTTTTTAAGCTTTGAAAAAGTAGAAATTTGTGGTGTTTGTGCTTGCCACAATTGATCCCGACTGACTGTTTTATTGATATCCTGCTGATTTTCAACAAACTTCAAAGTATCTCTTACAGGAATTGCAAGAATCGCACTGCTGTTCAGGTTTATTGCGGTATCGACTAAGTTTTCAAGACATTGTTGTGTCACACAAGGACGAGCAGCATCATGTACAAAAACCAAGTCATCGGCTTGTGCAAATTGTTCTAAATAACGCAATGCATTTAAAACAGAATCAACACGTTCTGCACCACCCAAACAAAAATGGCTCAAATGTTTATTTTTTAATGGTAATGTTTGAGCATAATGGTCTTGCTCACCAACAGCCAGTACATAACCCGCAAGCGGTAAATCGTTTAGACGCGCTATGGTATGCGCTAACACTGTTTGATTTTGGATGACTTGGTATTGTTTAAGTTCGGTTTTTGAAAAACGACGACCTGAGCCAGCCGCAGGAACAATTGCCCAAATTTTACGGTTGTTCTGGCGCAGGTTCGTTGTCATCTTCATTGGTTCTTAAATCTACATTTGGATCGGTATAAATAGGTTTGTAATGGGTACTAATTGTACTCATCTGTACAAAAGTTTCATGTGGCTTAACTAGACCGAGGTCTAAACGTGCATGTTCTTCTATGGCTTCAGCACCATTTTTTAGATCATACACTTCGGCAGCAAGAATTCGGTTGCGTTCTTTTAACTCAGCATTGACTTCAGCTTGCTGTTCAATTTGCTGTAGTAAAGCTTGATGAGGGAAATGACCACCCTCACCGAACCAAAAGCGATATTGTAATACCACAACGATTAAAATCGCGAGTACTGCAATCACTTTACTTGAAGTTGTTTTAAAGACTTCTAACATGGATTTGCGTCTTGAGTAACAGCATTAAATTAAGATGCTAATATACATCAAATATTTTGTATGAAGAACACTAAACTATGCGAAAACTGCAAAACTAGAACAAAATAACTTTTCTTTCTTTATAAAAAATAAGTGGGTGATCAATAATCAACTTTGTAATTAAAAAACTAAAAATTATCTTTATGCTAAAAACTCACATATCGCGATATTATTTATTATAAATTTTCTTTTTCAATAAACTAAGTTAATTAAATTCTTACCTTAAATTTTATTATCAATCAATTACATAATATTAAATTTCTCTTAAAACATACTATTCATGATTATTTTTTAGCGTATAAAAAAGCCATTCCCTATATCAAATAAAAGAATGGCTTTTTTTAATTTAAATCAATAAAAGATATTAATTTAAACCTTTAAACTCAGCTTTACCGCGATAAGCAGCATGAGTCAATTCTTCAATACGAAGCAATTGGTTATATTTTGCAACACGGTCAGAACGGCAAAGCGAACCAGTCTTGATTTGACCTGCTGCTGTACCCACTGCAAGATCCGCAATTGTAGAATCTTCAGTTTCACCTGAACGGTGTGAAATCACAGTGCTATAACCATTCGCTTTAGCAAGATAGATTGCATCTAAAGTTTCAGACAAAGTACCGATTTGGTTGTATTTGATTAAGATAGAGTTACCTACTTTCTCATCAATACCACGTTGTAAAATCTTAGGGTTTGTAACGAACAAATCGTCACCGACCAATTGGATTTTATCACCAAGGATAGAAGTTAAATAGCTCCAACCTTCCCAATCAGACTCATCTAAACCATCTTCAATTGAGATAATTGGATATTGTTTAACAAGGCCAGCAAGATAGTCAGCAAATTGGTTGCTTGTGAATGCTTTGTTTCCTTCACCAGCGAGAATATATTGACCATTTTTGTAGAATTCTGAAGATGCACAATCAAGCGCAAGCATAATATCAGAACCTGCTTTATAACCAGTTGTTTCAATTGCAGAAAGAATAACAGTAATTGCTTCTTCATTTGAACGTAAGTTAGGTGCAAAACCACCTTCATCACCAACTGCAGTATTTAAACCTTGTTTTTTCAATACAGATTTTAAAGCATGGAAAATTTCAGCACCAGCACGTAAAGATTCAGCAAAAGATGTGAAACCTACAGGCTCAATCATGAATTCTTGAATATCAACAGTGTTATCCGCATGTGCGCCACCGTTCAAGATGTTCATCATTGGAACAGGCATAGACAAAGTTGTTTGACCACGAAGATCTGCAATGTATTGGAACAATTCAGTTTTCTTCTCAACAGCAGCCGCGCGTGCAGCCGCTAAAGATACAGCCAATGTTGCGTTTGCACCTAATTTTTCTTTGTTTTCAGTGCCATCAAGCGCAATCATTTTGTCATCAAGCGCTTTTTGTTCAAATACGTTTTGACCTTTTAATAAGTCTTTAATTTGACCATTTACGTTTTGAACTGCAGTGCGAACACCTTTACCCAAGTAACGTGATTGATCACCGTCACGAAGTTCTAAAGCTTCACGAGAACCAGTTGAAGCACCAGATGGTGCACATGCACGGCCAACAACGCCAGAGTCTAGGATTACGTCTGCTTCGATGGTTGGGTTACCACGAGAGTCCAAAATTTCACGTGCACGAATGTCAACGATTTGGCTCATGAATAATTCCTCAGTTGATTAAAAATAAGATGCTTTCTAAGCGCATCAATGTGTATCTAACTTTTTGAAACCTTTAACTAAGGTATCCAATTCTTTTAACTGCGCTAAAAACGGCTCAAGCTGTGACATACGTAATGCACAAGGACCATCACATTTTGCATTTTCAGGGTCTGGATGACTTTCTAAAAATAAACCTGCAAGCCCTGTTGCCATACCCGCACGTGCTAAGGTCGTGATTTGAGCACGACGACCACCTGCTGAATCAGCACGACCGCCCGGTGTTTGCAATGCATGTGTGACATCAAAAAATACCGGCACATTCATTTCTTTCATGATGTCGAAACCCAGCATGTCAACAACTAAGTTGTTATAGCCAAATGACGTACCACGTTCACACAAAATGAGCTTGTTATTACCCGCTTCTAAACATTTGTTTAGAATATGGCTCATTTCACGAGGAGAAAGGAATTGTGCTTTTTTGATGTTGATAATGGCTTGAGTTTTCGCCATTGCTTCAACCAAATCAGTCTGACGACTGAGAAATGCAGGAAGCTGGATAATGTCAGCAACTTCAGCGACAGCTGCAGCTTGGTGAGGTTCATGAACATCGGTAATAATCGGAACATTAAAATGCTTTTTAATGTCGCCTAACCATTCGATGCCTTTTTCCAAACCAGGGCCACGGAACGAATGTAAGCTTGAACGATTGGCTTTATCGAAACTGGCTTTAAATACATACGGTATCTCTAAACGAGTACAGATATCGACATACGTTTCTGCAATTTCAAAAGCTAAGTCTTTCGACTCAAGTACGTTCATGCCGCCGAATAATACAAATGGCAAGTGATTTGCCATTTGTATATCGCCTAAACGTACAATTTCTTGTGGTTTTAATTGTGACATTTAAACTTCCTAGTTTAAGTTCTTACATACTTACTTGCTGTTTTGGTGCTGCTTTTTTGCGGCATCGATAAAACTAGCAAATAATGGATGTCCATCACGTGGTGAACTTGTAAATTCCGGGTGGAATTGTACAGCAATAAACCAAGGATGTTCAGGAATTTCTACAGTTTCAACAAGATGTTGCGCTGTCGAATAACCTGAAATTTTCATACCTGCCTGTTCGATTGCAGGAATGAAACGATCATTCATTTCATAACGGTGACGATGACGTTCAGTAATTTCAGCTTTGCCGTAAACTTCACGTGTTTTAGTGCCTTCAACCAATTCTGATTTTTGTGCACCTAAACGCATTGTGCCACCAAGGTTTGACTCAGTACTACGATGCTGGATTTCACCACGTTCATCTAACCATTCAGTAATTAAACCAATCAATGGGAATTTTGTTGAACGATTAAACTCTGTAGAAGTCGCTTCTGGCATAGCAGCAACATGACGAGCAAATTCAATCACGGCCAATTGCATACCTAAACAAATACCCAAGAAAGGTACTTTGTTTTCACGGGCATATTGAATCGCCTGCATTTTGCCTTCAGTACCGCGTTCACCAAAACCGCCAGGAACCAAGATTGCATCGATACCTTTTAATACTTCTGCAGGATTTTGGCTTTCAAGCTCTTCAGCATTGATATAGTCAATTTGAACTTTGACACGATTTTGAATACCCGCATGTAAAAGTGCTTCATTGACAGACTTATATGCATCTGGCAATTCAACATATTTACCAACCATCGCCACACGAACTGTGTACTCTGGATTCAATAATGCTTCAACCACATGATCCCAATCCGAAAGATCGGCTTCAGGTAAGCTGTCATAACCAAAACGTTCACAGATTAAATCATCAACGTTTTGTTCATAGAATGTACGTGGGATTTGATAAATTGAACGTGCATCTTTACACACCACAACAGCACGCGCTTCAACGTTTGTAAAGAGTGCAATTTTACGGGTGGTATCTGCGTCAACATCATGTTCAGTACGACAAATCAGAATGTCTGGTTGAATACCAATCGACAATAATTCTTTAACAGAATGTTGAGTTGGTTTGGTTTTAAGTTCAGCAGCAGACTTGATATAAGGTAATAAAGTCAAATGCATCAACATGGTACGTTTATGACCAAGTTCAACCATCAACTGACGTACAGATTCCATGAATGGGAGAGATTCAATGTCACCTACTGTGCCACCGATTTCCACAATGGCAACGTCATAACCTTCGCCTGCGCGAAGAACACGTTCTTTAATATTATCCGTAATATGTGGAATAACTTGTACTGTACCGCCGAGATAATCACCACGACGTTCTTTATTTAAAACGTCTTGATAAACACGACCTGATGTAAAGTTATTTAATTTGGTCATTTTGGCACGACGTAAGAAACGCTCGTAATAACCCAAATCTAAGTCAGTTTCAGCACCATCTTCTGTGACAAATACTTCACCGTGCTGGAATGGGCTCATAGTCCCAGGATCGACATTAATGTATGGATCCATTTTGACCATGGTTACTTTTAAACCACGGGCTTCTAAAAGTGCAGCAACTGAAGCAGCTGAAATACCTTTACCTAGTGATGATACAACACCACCAGTTACGAATATAAAATGGGTCATTAAGTTTCTCGTACAATGGAGCCTAAATTGGCCTACAATGTTGTGCGATTTTACTTTACCTTGTACCAAGAAAGCAAAGTCAATTCACATCAATTCATAGAACAATAAACAATTGGCTATTCTATCAGCATTTCCAATAAAAAATTAGCACTTGATAAGGTGATTTTTAAATATCATTTTGCTGTTATACTAAGTAACATCTCTTTAATACGTTTTGTTTTGAGTCATTATGAATAAGAAATTTTTAATTTGTGGTGCAATTGCGACAGCGCTTTTGGTATCTGCTTGTGTAAAAAAAGAAGAGCCTAAAGAAGCTGAGCCAGAGAAAGTTGAAAATGCTCAACCTGCGACTTCTGAACCGACACAGTTTGAAAGCTTACCAAGTGTTGAGCAGAATAATGCACAACAAGTCGAAATTCCGGCACATGTAGAAGTTGAACGCACAGAAACAGCAAATACAACCACTGAAATTCGCCGTGAACCAACGCATGAAGCCCATGCCACTATGCCAAGTGCACAAGCGGAAAATAAACCTGCTGCGACTGAGGCGAAGCCTGCAAAAGCAGAGTCAGTAAAAACTGAAACTGCACAAACCAAAACACCAGCACCAAAAGCAAGCTCTGGTTCAGCACAATCTGAAGATGATGCTGTTGCCGCTGCTATCGCTGCTGCTACACCAGCTTTGAAAAACTAAGATTTTGCATCGCTAAAAAAAGGGAAATTAAAATTTCCCTTTTTTTATAACTCTACATAAGTATTCAGTTGCATATGCCATATGAAACTTAATTTCTTATGACAAGTCATGAATGAGTTTAATTGTACCTGTAGCTTTTAAAAACTAAGCCGCATGCTGCTTTGGCTGAACCATATTATGAACAGCAAGTACATCTGCTAAAATTTCATCTGAAAGTAATCCCTCAGCTTTGATCAAAGCCAAAACACTCTCACCCGATTCATTTGCCATCTTTGCAATTCGTGTAGTGGTTTCATAACCTAAATATGGGTTTAGCACGGTAATGATACCAATTGAGTTATCCACTAAATGCTGACAATGCGCCGCATTGGCACGAATATTTTGAATGCATTTTTCATTCAGCATTTGCATCGCTTTGCCTAATAACTCAATAGATTCAAATAGTTTAAGCGCAATTAATGGTTCAAACGCATTTAATTGTAGTTGACCACCTTCTGCAGCCAAAGTAATTGCTAAATCATTTGCAATAATTTGATAGCACGCCAAATTCATCGCTTCAGGAATTACTGGATTTACTTTTCCTGGCATGATTGAACTACCAGGCTGACGTGGTTCCAATTGTATCTCACCTATACCAGTACGCGGCCCACTCGATAACAAACGTAAATCATTAGAGATTTTAGACAACTTTGTTGCAGTACGTTTGAGTAAACTTGATAAAAGTACAAAGTCACCCATATCTGTAGTCGCTTCAATCAAATCAGGCGAGCTTGAAATGTTTTTACCGGTGATTTCTGATAAAGCTTGAATCGCATTTAAGCGATACTCAACCTCGGTATTAATCCCCGTACCGATTGCAGTCCCACCTAAATTAATCACACTAAGTGAATCGGGCATAATATGATTTAACTTTTGCAAATCATTTTGTAAGGTATGCGCAAAAGCACTAAATTCTTGCCCTAATGTCATCGGTACCGCATCTTGTAACTGAGTACGTCCCATTTTCAAGATATCAGAGAACTCTTCAGCTTTGCGACCTAGGCTTTCAATTAGTTTTTGAAACGGAACATTGAGATGATCCAATGCAAATAATAGACCTATTTTTATTGCACTTGGATATACATCATTGGTCGATTGAGACATATTTACATCATTATTAGGATGTAGATATTGATATTCGCCTTTTGCATGACCAAGAAACTCTAATCCAATGTTTGCAATAACTTCATTTGCATTCATATTTGTAGAAGTTCCTGCCCCACCCTGAATCATATCAATAGGAAATTGATTATGGTATGAACCATTTATTAATTGCTGACATGAATGCTGAATCGCTTTATATTTATTTTCTTCAATTTTATTTAATTTAAAATTAGCCTCTACACAAGCAGACTTCACCATAGCAAGCGCTTGAATAAAAATAGGAAAATGACTTAATTTATGCGCACTTAGGTTAAAGTTCTCAACCGCTCTTAATGTTTGTACACCGTAATAGCAATGAAATGGGACTTCTTTCATTCCCAATAAATCTTTCTCAGTTCTCGTTTTAATTTCAATGTTCATTTGCAATGTAACTCTACGAAGATAATCAATTCATCTTAGGTGAAACAATCTAAACTTGACCAATGTAAAAAAATATATCTGTATGCATTTTTTGCATATCACTTGTTATACTTTGCTTGAGTTAAATATTTATTGGTGATTGAACATGACGCTTGAAATTCGGTGGATAGAGGATCTTCTTGCATTAGACCAAGAAAAATCCATTTCTAAAGCAGCAGCTATACGTCATGTCACTCAATCGGCTTTTACACGTAGAATACAAAATATTGAAGAGTCGTTAGGGTTTCAAATTTTAAAGCGTTATAGTAAAAACATTGATTTTACAGATGCTGGTCAAGTCTTGCTTTCAACAGCAAAAAATATTCAGAACCAAATGGATACAACAATAAAGTATTTAGAAAAAAATATTAAGGATAATGAACTCTCAATTAAATTTGCAGTATCACACTCACTCATCACACAGTTTTTTCCCAAATTTATTCAAAAACTATACTCAGACTATAATGATCTAAAGTTGGAAATTATTGCTGCAAATCTGCAACAAGGCATACATTTATTAAAAGAAGGTTCTTGTGATTTTCTCATTTGTTATTGTGATCAACTCACTTTACAACAATTGGATCTCACACTTTTTACTTATCATAAAATTGTAAATATGCAAATTGTGCCAGTTACAGCAAGCAAAAATGGATTACCTAAATACCAACTTAACCAATCCTTCCCCCTTTTAGCCTATAGTAAACAAGCTTATCTGAGAAAATGCGTAGATAAAATTATAGAAAGTAAACTCAATTACCGAACGTTATATGAAACAGATAATGCCAGTGACTTAAAAGCCTTGGCTTTACAAGGCTTAGGTGTAGCTTGGCTGCCTCGCTTACTGATTGAAGAAGAAATAAATGAAAATAAATTAAAAATACTTGATGGTTATAGTTTCTTTCAAGATATTTATATCGTTCGTAGCAATATTATTTACTCGCAAAAGATAAATTTTGTTTGGAATTATTTAGCGCTTAAATAGGTCTTTATTTTAAAAATTTATTTTTAATATTTACCTTGACCTAACAACTGAGGATCAATCCCCCCAGTTGAACAATTAAAACTGACAGATCTAATGATAATAGTTTGATCTGTCAGTTTTTTTTAACTTAAATAAATATTTATTGATACTGCGTATCATCATGAATACTGTCTTAAAAAATCAGCCATTAAACGCGAAGCCCAAGATTTGGTATTAAGACCTTCATAAAAACCACAATGACTGCCCTTTTTGGTTGTCACCACCACAACATTATCCATATTTTGAATGGTTTCTTTAAACGGTTCTAAATTCTTGATTGAACATACAGGATCATCTTCTGAGTTTAGAATCATTAATGGAATTTTAACATTTTCAAATACATAAATTGGATTGGTGGCTTTTGAATAGCTTTCATAATCTGAAAATCCAGCCATTTCAAAATATTCAGTCTGAAACTCTTGTAGGGTTTTCGTTTGTAAAACATTTTGTACAGAATGTAATGGTGTCCAGATTTGTTCATAAGGCTTAATAAATGCCTTAAACAATTTTTTGGTCATGACTTTGGTGTAGAAAGGATGGACATTTTGAAATCCAAGCTCAGTATCATAACCAGGGCACATGGCAAAAGCCGCTTTAAAAGGTGTATCTAGGCCTTGTTCGCCAAGATAACGCACAAGTAGGCCTGTACCAGCGGAAGAACCAACTGCATAAAGATCAGATTGTGGAAAAGTGTTTTGAATCGAAGCCAATTGCTCTTTTAAGTCAGAGGTTGAACCAAAAATCGACATTAGTGGAACAGGCATAGGTAAGCCCGCATGCCCACGGCGTAAACATAATGCAATACGCCATCCTGTATATTCATGTAGATCTTTGACCAATTCACGCATACTGTCAGGTGTACCTGTAATCGTATGCATAATCACGATAGTTGGAGTTGCTTGTGGTAAATCGTAGCCATACCAAGCAATTGCCGTGACCCCACCATCTTGCATGGTCAGCTGATCAATTCGATCATAGTCCAGCTTAATGGATTTTTTCTTAATTAAATCAAAATATAACAGGTGAGCATGGGTATTGCTGAGCCATGGTGTAGGACGATATTTATCCTGTAGTTGAGGCAGTTTCTTGATAATCTCAGACATTTTTCCTTGCTGATTAAAATACAGCTTTGGTAATTCAGCACCTGTCACTTGATCCAATAAATCTTGGCTAATCTCAGTAAACTTATGTAATACAGACATTTTCCACCTCAACTCTTTTTATCACTCATCATCATTTTAAAAATTAAGAAATTTTTCACGCTTAATTTTATTTATTGCAGTATATACGTAATTAGGCCTTAGGTATAAAGCTGGCCATACGTTGCCCCATTTGAGCAGCCAATGCTTCCAAACCACTTTTTGGTCGAATCATCACTTCAAAATCAACAATTTGACCCTGTTCATTAAAACGAATCATATCAATCCCTTTTAATTTTTTTTCACCCACATTGGCAGAAAATTCTAAAACAACACTTTGCTCATCCTCTGTAAAAAATTCTCGATGGTAAGTAAAGTTTTCAAAAATTTGAATCACATTGCTTAAAATGAAAAAGACCACTTGCTT